GGGTTTAGGGTTTAGGGGCTTCTTGACTTTGGGGCTTTGGGGCGCTGTTTCAACTTTGGGGGAGGGCTTTGGGTGTGCACGGCTCCGAATTCCGAAGGTTTCTGGCTTGGGGCTTAGGATGCTGTAGGTCCTGTAGGTGTTGTGAGGGCTCAGGATTCTGAAGGGCCATGACCTAAAGATCTTCGACCTACTTCGCCAGGCCTTGCCCAGGTCGGCGAGGCCATAAATCTCTTGAAGGAGGTACTCCTCCGCACAGAGTCGCTGCTGAGGTCTACTACTTGCGAGGATCTCTGTCTCTGCCCCAGGAATCACAAGCATCGTGGAGCAGCATGCGCAGCGAGAGATGCAGCAGGCCTTTGGAATGCGACTTTTTTCATCTGTCGCGTTGAGAGTCGAGATGCAAAGTCTGCTAAATCACAAGAACCACAAGACTACGTTGCACGAGAGAGGTTGCAATTCCGGGCTCACATTCAGCGCTCGTGGACTCTCCACAGGGGGGCATGCATGTGGCAATAGTAGAAGAGTGCCTGGGCCGGACGGATCTTACCCGATCTTTGGCAGGGTAGACCTGCCTTTGTGTTTGCATGGCAGCCGCCGCCGCAGCGGTGGGGCGTTCGCCTTGGGGTGGTCCTCGCTGGGGTCCGGCTGCGTGTAGAATTCGCCTTGCCTGCCTTTCCAACACTCTTGTTGCTCGGACTCCTCATCTCCCGCGGCAGCTTCGAGCCAGTGGAGGGCACTGGGGACCTTGGGGCGCTGCGTCGGGGCGGCGTGGAGGGCGGGGAGTCGCTGCGCTTGGCTCCGGGCAGAGCGCAAAGCAGGGACCGGGCGTGGGAGCGGGAGCGTGCGGGAGATCGGGTCTGCGAGCGCGCGGGACGGCGCGGGGTCGCGCGCGAAGTAGGGGTCCCCTTGGTGGCCTTCATGGCCTTGGGCTGGCGCGAAGGGGTCTGCGAGCGTCCCTGACGAAGGATGGGCTTTGGAAGCTGACCCGATTTCGGAGAGTGTTGCGACACCAGCTCGGTGGCGCTGGAGCCTGGCGAGGCAGTTTCGAGGCGTGCCGCTGCCAGGCGGCATGCCATGGCATGAGGCGACCCCTGGGGACTCAAGCACATCTTCTTACATTCTCTTGCAAGCTGCTCTGGACGGAGGGTGAGGAGGGAATGGACCATCGCGCCCCCTCGGGCTGCAAGGCTGCTTCGTGAGCGCAAAACCCTTGGGCTGGGCCTGGGAAGGGACTGCGAAGGGACTGGCGTGGATGGATCACTGGGTCTGGCAAGGGACCTGGCTGGATCCAGGCTTTTGCCACGGATGCGCCGTGTGGGTGTGCTTGTCCAGGCTGCTGGCGCGGGACTTTTGCTTCGGATTCGATGGCGGGGCGTGGAAAAAGACCTGGCTGGTGCTGGCGAGAGGGGCACGGGCCTGGCCTGCACAGTCGGCGGTACGGAGAGCCCACGCGCTGGCCGCGGTCTGCCTCCTCCCAACGCGGTGACTGCGGGGCCCGCCTTCTCAGACGTCGTCTCCCTCTGCTGCCGCTGCTCTCGGAGCCGGTACAACAAGTCGTTGCAACTGCCCGAACTGGGAAGGCCCTGGCGGTCACAGGCAGCCTGAAGCTCACTCTTGTGGAGGGCATTGAAAGGTGCAAAGGTGGGGCTCGTGGTCCCAGACCTAATCGACTCCCTGTCTTCAAACTTCTTGGTCATGCTCTGGATCAGCAATCGGGAGATCAGCTGCGTCCGGAGCCCCGTCGAGGAGAGCCCTCGCTCCATGCAGAGCTTCCTGAGCGACTCCGGGTGCATGATTCCCAGGTCGGCCGCCTCACTCGCCTGGGCTGTTCGGTGAAGCACCTTAAACTTCTACATAGCCCCCTTGTGTTCCCTCTGAAGACTAGACTATCGATGACGAAAACTAGTCTTAAACAAAAACAGCAAGAAGGCGTGCTTAAGAAAGACCTGCCCACGACATGGCTTGCATCTGAAAGTTGAAGCCTCCTTGGGCTCACTGAACCGGAGCGTCTCGGGGTGGGACTTCGTGCTGGCGACAGCAACTCCCTTTTGGGAGGCTGAGCGCAACGGTGCTCCATGGCTTTCTCACTCGCTGCCTCTGGCATTGCCTGTGTGGCCTGCAGTAGAGCAGCAATTCCTTTGTGCACGATCCTGTCGGAGTTGTCGCTGCGCACCTTCTGTGCAGCAGGCAACGGGCTTCGCTTGCGTTTGGCTGCTTCTGTCTCCTCACGTGCTGGTGATGGGCTGCGCCGGGAAGTTGGCACCGGAGCCTCGTTGCCAGAAGCTCTTTTGGCGCCTGGCTTCTGCTGTGGCTTCGGCTGGCCGCTTGGCCCTGTGCTGCCCAGCTGTGACAGCGTAGCTGCTGGTGACGCGCTTGGTCTTTGGGTTTTCGAAGTCTCCTCAGCAGCGCCCTGCCACTTTGACAGTGGAGATCGGCTGCGTGCGCGAAGAGCCCTTTCTGAATTCACAGCCACCTTCTCTGCCAAACGCTGCATTGCAGGGGAGGGACTCCTTCTTGTAAGTGCGGCACTCGCAGCTTCCGCCAAAGAACTGAACTTCGGAGGCGCTCTGGAATCTCCCGTGGCCTCCGCCCTCTGCTGATGCTCTTCAGGTACAGGACTTCGCCGTGCTCGTCCTGCATCGGGCGCTGTGCCGGACGGAGCAAGGCCTTGCCTAGACGTTGAAGGCGACGGGCTGCGTCGGTGAGGGGGAAGTGAGGAGCTGGGTGTCCTCACCTTCGCACTGGAGGTTGCTTTGGCGCTGGCATCTTGCTTCTGCTGACTGTCTTGTGCATCGCTTCCCTTGCTCGGCGCTCGTGGAGTGGGGGCTTGCTGTGTTGTGTCGGCCGCATTCGGAGCTTGAGTTGAAGGCGACGGGCTGCGTCGTCGAGGTGGAGGCAGGGAGGTGCTGGGTGTCCTCACCTTGCCGGTAGATTTCGGGTTCGTCTGCTTGTGCTTCTTCTGAGAGTCTTTCCCCTGCTTGCTCTCCGGGGTAGGCACTGGAGACCGCGCACGTCTGCTTGCAGGGGGCTTCGGATTCTCGGTGGTGTCTTGCTGTGCTGGCATCGGGTCCGGCATAGGGGGAGCAGCTCCTGCCTCTGGTGCTTTCTCGCCTTGCTTCCGCATCGAAGGCGAGGGACTGCGTCGCCGAGGTGGGGGCAAGGAGGCGCTGGATTTGGGAGTAGCCCTGGAGTCTTTTTTCTGCTGCGGCTTGGCTTGCTGCGGCTTTTGCTTCGGAATTTTCTCACCAGCCTCGGCGGTCTTGAGAGACTCAGCTGGTGAGGCACCTGCCTTGGCTGGTAGCTTGGCCTTCGCTGCTTGCTGTGCTGGCACGGGACTTCGGCTTCGTGCAGTGCGACTCTGCACCGAGCTCTGCTCACCTTGAACTTGCTCTGCTTGCTTTGAGGCATCTTGTGAGGATGGGCTTGTCTGCGGCTGCGAGGCGGACTTTTGAAGGGATGCGCCCCTCGCCCTCGCCGGGCTGGCCACTTTGGCAACTGGAGTCGTCGGAGGCTTCGGGCAGCCGGGAGCACTGCGACTGCGTCGCGCCGGGATCGCTGCCTCCACGGCCTTCTTGGCCACAGCTGCGAGGTTGGAGGCCGCCACGCTCATGCTTCGGGTGACCCGCTTGGTGTAGGTCGCCTCTGGGCCCTGGCTCTTCTCTTTGCTCGCTTTGCTCGCAGCTGCCTTTCTCTCCTTGGCATCTGCAGGCTCCCGGAAACGCGGCGGCGTGTGGAGGAGCTTCTGAAGACTCCCCAGGAAGTCCTGTGAGGGCGCCTGCACGAAGGAAGCCTCCGACGGCGTGATCTTCAATCCTTCCTCCAGGCTCCCGACTTCCCGGCTCATGCCGCCAGGCATGGAGCAAAGGATGCAGGCCGCCGCCATGTCCACGCTGAAGGTGATAGGCCAGCAGGGCTGGGAAGGATGCGACTGCCCTGGCAGCAGAACCTCGGCAACTGCTGGGGTGGTCGGGTTTAGGGTTTAGGGTTTAGGGTTTAGGTAGGCGCCATGTCCACACTTAAGCTTCCAACAGCCCATTCCCCCTGAAGCCTCGCAAAAGCCCCCCAAAGGGCCCTAACGCCGTATACTGTAAGAGCCTGAATAATTAGGATAGGGTTTTGGGGCATGCTATAATAATAACAATTAATAATAATACTACTAATAATACAAATAAGGAACCCCCAAACTAGTCCAGGTAGTTTATTAAGGCCCCTATATAAAAAGCCATAAAGGCCCAGAAGCTTCCGGCAGCTCCAGGCAGCCCCAGGGAAGCTCAAAGCTCTGTCCGGCACGCACCTCGATGGTCATGCTCACCCGGGTGAAGGTCACTTCCGCATCCGGCGCGTGCCTGGGCTAAGAATCCGATAGCCCTATCTAGACTGAAGGTCCGAAGCTCGTCATCACCATCATCATCATCATCATCATCATCATCATCACCATCATCATCATCACCATCATCATCATCATCATTGGGTTTAGGGGTTAGGGTTTAGGGGTTTAGGAGTTTTGGGAGTGGGGGTTTAGGGTTTCAGGGTTTAGGAACCATCATCACTCAAACCGGTCGCTTTCGAATAGAACTATGGGCGATGTTGCTGCTTGCCAGACTATCCTCAACGATTCGTCATCGTCATCCTGAAACTCATCCTCGATCATCAGCAGCATCATCATCTTCATTCCACTTGTCCCCGGTAACACCGTCGTCATGGCTCCTCGCTGCCTTGACATTGAAACTACAGACTACAGACCCTACCAGGCACCAAAACAAATGGGACCCGCAGAGAGGTCTTGCGGAATGATATGGTTCAGGGTCTATGGCCGAGCGCTTTGGGCTTTCGGGCCATATATAAGTTAAATACTGCCGCCTTGTGCAAGAGCTCCACGCGTTTGCGTCCTTGACGGGGTCTGGCTCGCGTGCCCTACGCAAAGCAATACCTGAAATTCCTGAAACAAGGGCCGTCGTCGGATCTGTCTTCAGAGAGGCCAAGGGACAGGTTTCCCCACTGCACCAAACAGGTCGCCGGACCCAGCAGACTGGGGTCGACAGACCTCAGTTTGGGGACATGGGGGGTTTAAGGCTTTACCGCTTAGGAAATTTTAGGATCTAGGGCCAAGATCCCCAAACATGAGGGTTTAAGGTTCAGGATTTAAGGCTAAAATCCCTAAACCCTAAACCCGACTTTCGGGTTAGGGATGCGAGGGTTTGCTTTGGCGGGCTTCGGAGGTGCCAGTAGGGCTTCAGGGGCTTGGGAGTAACCGAGTCCGGCTCTTGAGTTTCGGGGCCCTGTGGGCTTGACGAGGATTTAGGGTCTTAGGGTTTAGGGTTTAGGGTTTAGGGTTTAGGGGTCAGGGTGCCCCTGGAAATGCAGAGGTTGCTTCCGGTTTTCTTGTCTTAGGCTTACGGCGTTGGGGTTGCGGAAGGTTGGAAGAGGGAGGGTGCTTTGCAGGACACCAGAGCCAGATTGGAGTGGCTTTCTGCCTGCAAGAATCTGTTAAGGGAAACTACAGGTGGGGAGATAAGGCTCCTATAACGGTAACTACCCACCTGAAAATGTCCTAGAATCAGGGGTTCGGCTGACTTCCGGACCTGTCAAACCTGGAATCCTGGAGCCTGGACCCTGCAGTGGGCAATAGTGTTTTATTCTGTTTAGGGTTTAGGGTTTAGGGTTTAGGGCCTGCACTGGTCAATAGTGTTTTATTCTGAGCAGGCGATCGCGCGGTGTCCGACATTGGCGGGCTAAGACCTCTTTGAATTCACCGAAATCCTCACACCCACGAATGGGGCATAGAACAGCTCCACCAGGCCCCATAAATCATACCGCTACCTTTCCCTTAACCACAAGAGTTCCCTTAAAGTACCCTAAACCCCAACCCCTAATTCCCTAAACCCCTAAACCCTAAACCCCTAAAGCCTAAACCCTAAACCCTAAACCCCTAATCCCTAAACCCCTAACCCCTAAACCCCTAAACCCTAAACCCCTAAACCCCTAAAGCGGAGCCGAGGCTCCTGGAAAAGTCTTTGAGCAGAAGCCGCCGATTCTCCGCGAAGTCCTTCGGGGCGGTGGCCTGGAGGCTCTTGCAGACCTGCTTGCCAGCCACCTCAGGGTCCGGTTTAAGGTTTAGGGTTTAAGGTTTAGGGTTTAGGGTTTAGGGTTTAGGGTTTAGGGTTTAGGGTTTAGGGTTTAGGGTTAGGGTCGGTGGGGCGCTCCTCTAACAGGTCTTTGTAATTAATTCGGATCCTACC